TAACAGGAATAGGGTACAGCTGGATTGCAAGAGTGGCTTCTGTGTACTATAAAAATAAAAGCACAGTAGAGTAACTATGGCTTTTAATAATGGCATGTATCAAAATAAGTACAAACAAAATAAGAAAAAAACAAATAATAAATGTTCTAAGTGATGAATCTGCCAATTGCCTTCATTGGATCAGTATACACAGTATATAAATATTGAAATAACACACTGTACTTCAAAACTATGTATGTGAACTTAAAATATTAGAAAAATATTTTGCTGAGACTACAAATATTTTATGGCTAGTATTTCAGTTCCAAATTTATAAAAGTATGAATGACATAATGACATGAGTTGTAGTTATAAGCCGATCCCATAATCACTACATGTAGATTTGCTGGGGTCTACAGTACCTTCAAGGGCACTACATAAACCTAATGTTCTTTTAGCATCTATATATCATTTTAAATTGTATAAATTTGTGTGAAATGACTAACTCTTGTAGCTTTAATTTTGTATTTCATGTTTTTTAGAAATATTTTATTGTATGCATGAGTGTTTTGCCTGAATGTTATGTGCACTATGTGAATGCACTGACTAAGGAGACCAGAAGAAGGTATCTGATCACCTAGAACTGGAGTTACATGTGTTTGTGCAGAAAACTAAACCTGAGTCCTCTGCAAGAGCAGCAAGCAATCTTAACTACTGAGACATCTCTTGGCCCCTCATAATGCTTAGTTTTCATTTATTTATTTTTTTTCCTTTTTAAGTGTCCTTGGCACATAAGGGTATTTTTTTCCCTTTTTCTTTTTTAATGCAGGATCTTGTTGTGTAGCCTTGGTTGATCTTAAACTCATCTTCATGGTTCAACCTCTGGGAATATAGACTTGTAAAGCACTCAAATCTTATTAGGGTTTCTAAATGATTTTTTGAGTTAAGTTTACTGTAAACTTTAACTTTAACTTCACAGTGCCATTTGTTATACAAAACTTTTTAAATCTAAGACAATTTTATCAATCTTTTATAGCTTAAAAAAAATCTGGTATAAGAAAAAATTTTCTAGGGCTGGAGAGATGGCTCAGAGGTTAAGAGCACTGGCTGCTCTTCCAGAGGTCCTGAGTTCAATTCCCAGCAACCACATGGTGGCTTACAACCATCCATGAGATCTGGTGCCCTCTTCTGGTGGGCAGGCATACATGCAGATAGAACATTGTATACATAATAAATAAATTTAAAAAAAAGAAAAAATTTTCTAATATAAGGTTATAACACACTGCCTAAATTTTAAACATTTAAGTTTCTTGTCCTTTTTTGTCTTTGTTCTACATGAAATTTAACTTAGCTTTTAATGAATTAGAGATTTACTTTTACTTTTCATATGCAAGGAATAGAAGGCCTATTGTCACTATCTGCTTTACCTCTGCTGATTTTCAAGGCTATGGAATAGAATGTTTTACATGTGTGTTCATTTGTGAGGTCTTCAGTTATATTTTATTCATTTGTTCATCCCTGTACTAATAAATGAACATTATATAGTTGAGCAAAGTCTGGTAGAGCAAAGCCTGATTTTACACATACACACACAATCATTTTGTAAAATCTAAAAATGATTTTGAGATTGTGACTGAAATAGAACCTATGAAATGAATTTTCAGTCTCTACTTCTCCATTCAGTCATACTTTTAAAATGGCCTTCAAATGTGCCTTGTACTTTACCTCCAATGCTCCAAAATTACAGCTTGCTATTTTCCCAACTGATACACAGGAGTATTGTAATTACAAGCTGTTTTTGGACAGAGTTATAGTTCAAGTTTTCCTCTCATCGGCCCACAGTTAGTTTCAGCTTTCCCTTTTCACTCTTGTAGATGTGATCCCGTCTCACTTCTCTAAAATACCTGTGTATCCAGTTTTAAGAATGTTTTTACTTCAATTTATTTGCCTATTAATACAGACCCTGTTCTTTAACTGGGTAATAAGGTGCATGATACCAAAATACTCTGAGAGGTTGAGCCAACACTGCCACGCAGAAGTGAGTGAAATAAGCACTATTAGTTCATTTTTATTAATTTTTTTTCAGGCTGGGACTTAATCCCACGGTAAAGTTCAGAGTTACTGTAGCTGGCACTGGTAAATCTTGTTTAGGATTTTGATAACAATGTCTATAAGTGAAACAATCTACAGATTCTATTTATTGTTTTGGAAAATTTGAAATAAATTAATGTAAGTTTAAGATATATTGAATAAACCAGGCAATAGTGGGACGCACCTTTAATCCCAGTACTTAGGAGACAGAGGCAGGCAGATCTCTGTGAGCTCAAGGCCAGCCTGGTCTAGAGAGAGTTCCAGGACAGCCAGAACTGTTAGAGAAACCCTGTCTTGAAAAAAACAAGAAAAAAAAGGGAGAGATTGAATACTTCCCCACCAAAGGTTCACATAATACAGAAATTACAATACAATAGCCTGGAAGCCTACTCTTGTGGACAGAGAATTTACAATTATCAATTCACAATCTTTATTGGTATTACTTTTATAGGAATTCTCTACAGGCTGTCTTATTTCATGGACTTGTATTTCTTGGCAAGGGAGTACTTTGTTTTGAAGTTTATTAAAATTTCGGTGAGAAAATATAATTTGTATATCAAGTTTTAAATTTGTACTGATTTTAATTCAGTTAAAATAAATTACATAATGTATATACTTGCAAAGACATGTATGTATTATATGTGTGTTCATTTTGTGTAAATGCCTCTTATACACTGAGAAATTATCTCTCGATAGAGCAGTTTTTGTGGAGATGTGCTAAGGTCTCCACTGTGATGTTAAAACTTTCTATTTCTTTTTGTTTTTCACCTATGAAACATATGCTGGATCCAAGCTGTGAAGCTGAGGACCTTGACCTCCTAATTCTGCTAACCATTTCCCAGGCATTGGGATTAAAGGAGTATAAATCCATGAATGGTATTTTGTGCTGGGGATCCTTGGAAAGCACTCGATCAGCTGACTCGCATCCCCTCATCCCTGAATCTCTCTACTTTAGATGTGTTTTCCCCCCAGAGCCAATAGGGTCCATTTTTCTAATCCTAGTTTATGATCTTTTGCTAAAGCAAAATTACTTAATTTCCCTCGGTAACTGAAACAATTGGATCATGTGTAACCCAGGCAGTCTTTGAATTTGGAGATTGTTCTGCCTATGCCTCTTGATTTAAAGCTTGAGTTTCCATGCCCAGTTTTAAGATTTACTATTTTTCATCCTTTTCTTTCACTCTTCTTGAGTTGAGTTTACTATACTCCCTTCCTTCCCTCCTCAGCTGATTTGAGATCCCCCAAAATTTTGGTCCCATACCCCTTAGAGTAATTTTTAAAAAGATATATGGGACACGCCTTTAATCCCAGCACTTTGGAGGCATAGACAGGCAGATCTCTGTGAGTCTGAGGCCAGCCTGGTCTACACAGTGAGTTCCAGGATAGCAAGAGCTACATGATTTTTTTTTTATCCCTTTGAGAACTAGTCATTTCTCTTATTTTTAAATTCTTAAGCTCTTTTATAACAGGTAGAAGGCTGCAACGTTTATTCTAAACTTGTACTTCCCTTCCTTACCCATGTAACTCAATCTCAGTGAAAGGAAGTAGGATAAAACCAAAAAATTAAATAAATTAAAAAACTTAAAAATATATTAATTTTGAGCCAGGCAGTGGTGGTGCACGCCTTTAATCCCAGCACTCAGGAGGCAGAGACAGGCAGATCTCTGAGTTCTAGGCCAGCCTGATCTTCTACAAGAGCTAGTTCCAGGGCAGGCTCCAAAGCAACAGACAAACCCAGTCTCAAAAAAAAAAAAAAAAAAAAACCCAAAGTCTTTAGAAAGCACTGTCCATAATCTTTATGCTTTTTAATGCTTTAGAACAGAATAAAGACTTCTGATTTTATGGTTAAATACACGAAGTTCTAGACTATACTTTGGAAACAATTAGTCTTATTTCCTAGATTTTTCATTTTCTTTCTTTTTATTTTATTTTGAAACAGGGTCTTACTATGCAGCCTTGGCTGGCCTGGAACTGGAACTTGCTATGTAGACGAGACTGGCCTCTAAGTCACAGAAATCCACAGAGATCCCAGAAGAGTTCTGGGACTAAAGGCGTGTGCCACCATGCTCAGCTACTCCTATTTTAATGTGCAGGTTCTACTAATTGTATAGGATATTTTCTCAAAGTAAAATAGTATTTTATAACACTGGGAACTGAGATCCATTTACATAAGTTAACTGGCAATGTTTTCACTATGGGTTAGAAAATGACAAATCTTGGGTTAGGTAGTAAATATTGGATAAAGAAGAAAAAGATACCAGGAAGTTCATGGTAAAATTGAAAACACTTGTGGTTTAAGTCATGGCTGGAGACTAAGGAGGCCTGAAAAACAATTACTGAAAATTTACAGATTATATAACAGACTGGCAAAAATTCCTGAAAGGTTTCAAAAGTGAAAGAAATTCTGGAAAATATAAAACATAACCTGTAAAATACCTGGGGTGGAGGGGATGGGGGTTGGAGAACAAGAATAGGAGGTCTTGCTTGTAGCCCAAGCTGGCCTTAAACTTGTAATTCTCCTCCCTCAGCATCCTGAGTCCTGGGACTGCACACTTACATTTGTCTGAATTAAGTCACATTCCTTTAATGTGAAATGTAATGTTAGTATATAAGAACACATGGACTGCTAACTTCTCCATCCTTGAAATCACACAAATTTTGAAAATTTGAGATGCATCTTCAAACTCATCATTGTTCAGCATGGTGGAAATAAAGAACCTGATTCACCCCAAATCAACCGTAGTTTAATATTAGATTTGGATATTCTTAGATGAGGCAAATAGCCTTACCATTTGCTTATTGCCTAAATTGGTAGCTTTTCCTTTGTTATATCCATACTCTTAGTTTTCCTTTCATGTGATTCACCCAGACTAGTTTTTAAAACAGGGGACAAAAAAAAAAAAAAAAAAAAAAAGGACAGCCATTAAACACACACTGCCATCTCCTTTACTGGTCAAAACATCTCAACTCTGAACATTCCATATGCAAGTGTAACAGTGGATGAAATGTTTCACTCATAAGAAAAATAAACTTCATCATACTCCTTTAATCAGGACAGTAAGAAATGTTTGATAAAGTTCAAATCGACACATCCTCTTGATAGGGAAGTGGCAGAATTCTGCAAGAGTATATGGGACTTGAAATGTTGAGCCCATTTTGGAAAACAAATCTTACCATTGGTTTCTTTTGTAAAATGGGAGAAAGATTAAATTGTTGTGATCCCTTGATCACAGGCATCTTCTTTCTTTTTTTGAGACAGGGTTACTCTGGTAGCCCTGGCTGTCCTGAAACACACTCTGTAGACCAGGCTGGCCTCACACTCAGATCCGCCTGCCTGCCTCCCAGTGCTGGCATTGAAGGTGCATGCCACCACCACGTAGCACAGGCATCTTTGGGTTCAACTCATTTACACAAGTTGTGTAAAGTTCTGTCCAAGATGTTCCTGACACATGAAGCTTCCAGTTGAATTTCAGAAAAGTTAAGAAAAGTATCTTCCTTTTTTGCCTGTGAATGTTTGCGTATTGCTGTACTGTTGGCTTATATCCACTACAGACACTGGTTCTAGGCCAGCCCAAGGGTCTTCAAGCATTGAAGGCTTAAAATAACTTTCCAACTCATTAGACATTCTTTTTTCTCTACCACGCCCTGATCCAAATGGTGTAGATGTCCTTGGAGAACCCTTTAGGAAAAAAATCATCAGTTAAAAAAACATCTAATAGTGATAATTGGTACTTTCGAGACAAGTTGACGATTAGTGGTGATCACATTTAAAGCTGAAAAGTGAAGCTGAATAGTATATTCAATTGCAAATCTCTTGTTTTCTTTAAATCAGCAGGTGGTGGCCCACGACTTTAATCCCAGCCCACAGAAGACAGAGGCAGGCATGATCTCTGTGGGTTCGAGGCCATCATGGTCTACAGAGCTACAACAGAGAAAACCCGTCTCGAAAAACAAAACAATTACTAAAACCAATTGTATATTTCGTTTTTAGAAAATGCCTATCTTTTGCCTTTCTTATGGGATAACCCTGCAACTATCAAATACAAATAAATCCTGTACAAGCCGTGAACAAATTAATTGTATTCATTTTTTTCTTGAAAACGTTTTAACCTGATAGCTATCAAATTTCTACTTTTATATTCCATGAAAATTTCCTACACTTTTTAGCTCCAGCTCAATGGGATTGAGCTGGTGAGAATATTCAAGTTTGCAAAACATGGTAGATTCAAGTTTTCAGTCAAAGAGCTACTTCCTGCCTTGTGGACACTCATTTCGATGAAGGGAAATTTACACAACTCCCAATTCTCGGTTTTGTCCTTCAAGAGAACTTGGAGTAGAAGTCAATATAGTTCGGGGAAAAAATTGTAACAATTAAAAAAAATGAAACAAAAGCAAGGATGGACATCGGTAGGAAATGGCAGTGGACTAAAGTCTAGACAAGTCATACAATAGTAGGGAATCATTTGTCCTCCCCATAGGATTCCAGGATTATTTACTGAAAAACTGACAAAAACAAAACAAAACAAAACAAAACCAACTGTGGGGGCTGGGAGAGAAGAAATAGAGGATTAAGAAAATTTGTATATGAATATGGTATACTCGTTAAGAGCACATCTGCTGTGGAACAGAGAACGATAGCTCTGCCACTAAGATAATCTTAATTTATTTCTTTACACTTCAGTATATTTATCTGCAAAACTGGGCCAACGTAGTAGGTCACTTCACAGAGGATTAAACAATCCATGTAAAGGGAAGTTTAGTATCACGTCTGCCATCGCAGTAAGAGCTCGGCAATCGCTAGCTATTGTCTTTACCTGGGGGTAGGTCTGCTGCTGCCCTGGGGAGTAGCCGAACTGATGCTGGGACCCCGCGGGGGACCTGGAGTAGGAGCCTGGGTAGCCGCCCGGGGACGGAGACCCGAAGCGGGGCCCCGAGAAGCTGCCGCCATGCCGCGGAGAGTGGCTGCTCCCGTACGGCCTAGCCCGGGGCCCGCACGGCGGAGTTTGGTGCGGACTCCCGTACCCGTCCCGCGGGGAGGGCGGTCGCGGCCCCCCGCCCAGGGCACCCCGGAAGCTGCTTCCACTACCCCAGCCTCCTACCCCCGGGCCGGGGTACGGAGGAGTTGGGGGTCGAAAATTCGGTCGGTGCATATCAGGAACTGAAGCTGAAGACCTCCGTCGACGATCCTCTCACCGGAACTCCAGCAATCGACCGCCAGAAAAGAACTGGGATTCTTATATTTATGAAGCCTTCCGAGTGCCAGCGCAGTTCGGCACCTTAGTTCCGGGCGCACAAAGGTTCCGATCGCTCAAAGCTTCCGCAGGAAGGCGAGTAAATAGGTCACTCAATCCGGAGGACGTGGGTGTGTCTGAGAGGAGGAAAGGCTGGTTAATGGGACCCACACGCTCGAACACTGCCTCCGGCAGCCTTTGGTGGGACCCACGTCCACGAAGGCGGAAGCGGAAGACGCAAACCCGTCGTCCTGTCGTTTAGGCTTTGCGGGGTGTGGCAGAGTGCCGTAGGGTGGGAGAGGACGTGTCGGGGGAGGTGATCCCGGAGGGGGCGGGTCCGAGGGGGGTGGGCCATCGGGCTCTGGGGCTTCCGGAAGGCGGGGTGTCTGCCGGGCCACAGGCCGAGTCGTGGGCTCTAGACAAAGGGGCAAGACCGAGTGGACGCGGGGCGGAGGGCAGCGCGGAGGCGCGGGGACGAGGACGGGAGGGGGGGGGGGGGAAGGGGGG